ATCGACATAGCCGTTTATTCGTTACTGCGCCACATCGATCACCTGCTTTAACGAGCTTCCGGCACCGCCTTCCTACCGCTCACAATATCAACCAGGAAATAAAAATCTGGCATCGGCTAGCCGGTCAGCCAAGCCACTCAGTTCGGTTAACAGCTATTATCACCCGACATGTGCGCAAAGTGGAAAAAAAAGAAATACAAGAAAATGAGTGTTTAAACCCATCCTGGAGCACTAATTAAAACTGATAGGAATGAAATTTTACATGTAGGAAGAAATTATTTATTTTGTCACCTCTAACTTTAAGTATTTCCCATATCACTCATATCACTATATCAAGGGGATCGCTAAAGCGGGGTCATTAAAAAAGTTACTTTTTTGATGCAAGTAGGATAAGTATTTGTATAGATATCAAGAACACAATGTAGATCCTTATATAAGAAGTGCATAACAAATGACCTGATGCATGATGATAGTCATGCTAAGGTTATTATCACGAGGATTGCCCCTGGACCAACCCTAAAACAAATATGAAACTGGAAATAGTTATTAAAAGAGAAATTGTGAAACTTAGGACCGGCAGTGCCTTTTTTCTTTGCTGCCCGAATTTGTTCTGGTTCTTTTGTGCTGTGGTGCCTTCTTTTATAAAGAAAACAAGAAATCTCAAGAACATATACATTAATACATATAACAACATATAATGATATATATAATGATATATATAACAAAATATATAAACATATATCGAAATAACTAAAAAAAAAAAAAAAAAGGAAAAAAGGAAGTAAAGAGATACGTACTAAAATAGTATAAGACTGTTTCAAACCTAAAAAACTCTTACCAACAAGATATTAAAGTTGCTCCAAACCTAAAACTGAAAACTTTTACTTAGTAGTAACCAAATAAAAAAAAATAAAAAATAAGAGCATATATAAAATATATAGAAATCATGTATTTATTATGGTAGATTCAAACTTATCAAAGAACGATTTGAAAGACATTTGTTGAAACCTTGGTTTTCTAACTGAAGAAGTAAAGGCAAACCTAGTACAAAGATTAAAAATACACTTAGCAAGGTTATTGGTAAACCTGGTTCCATTAAATTCAACAAATGACATATTAGTTGAAGGTGATTATGCTGATGATGACAAAGATACTCATATGACTAGAGAAGAAAATTATGTAAACAATCTAGAAATTGACAAAAAAGGTATCCTGATCCAAACATTAAGGGAACTTGCCTTAAGAACCAGATATAATGATGTAGCAGAACTCTCAACAGCTTAGCAAAGCACCATGAAACCAAATCCTATACAAGAAATAAATAACTAAAAGACTAAATACTTAAAAGAAAAGAACAAACAGCAATTATCCGAAGATGCTAACTATGATTACCTGAACTTCCTAAAAGGTCTGATGGTATCAGAACTCAGAAACTTAAGAAGCATTATGGCTGGATTTGATAATAAACTTAACTCAGTAACAACTCAAGTACAAAAAACTAACAATAATGAAACATGACCAGATCATAAATTTGAAAAATCATGAGATCAGTTTAAGTATAATATGATATGTTTTATTGGGAAAAAATTGGCTTAGTGATAGAATCTAAAGCAGTAACAGAAATTACAAACAACATTATAAGTACACAAGAATTAACTGCTGATAAGATATTTACATTACACATAGCAGAAGTATTTGGATGGAACATTGCTGTTGCATTATCAAATACACAGGATAACTTGCTAAAAGGCAAAGAATCAGTAATAGAAAAAGCAAAAGCCATTGCAGATGCAAAGAAAAATAAGCAAAGAAAAACAACAAGCCCAATAGAAGGCATTAATAACCCACATGATAAATTTATTTACCAAAACTGTTATCCAAATAACCTTTCAACTGGATACCAAAATAACTACCAAAACCTTACCTAGACCAAGAATAGTTTTTTGTACAAGTTACTGACCCTACTATGAAGTTTCATACTAGTCAAATAATTGTTACACCTTTGGGAGCTCAGGACACTTTGCAAATGCATGCCTCTCAGACTCCTACAAAAATACTAATTAATGACAAAAAAGAAACTTCAGTTACCATTTTCGAGGTTATGCAACCTATTGAAATAAATAACCTGAATTCCATGATGATAATAAACATAACTAACTACACTCAGGCATAACAAGAATACCAGTAATAGGATGACTACATTTTTTAACACATATAAATTACTGAGAATAAAAAATCCAAGTACTGAAATTAGTCCTAAGCTGGTTAAAAAATGGCATCCTGTTGTATCCAAAAGGGTTATTGAATTTGATATTACAACCAAATTCATTCTCTTATATACTAACAAAAAACTAAATAATTTGGTTAAACTCAGAAATAAAGAGATTACTAATAATAAGAGTGATAACCTATGTCTCAAATTCACCAAATAGACTATTGCAATTGCTTGAAATAGGCCTGATTTTTCTGACCCAAAGTCTGGTCCAAATAAATAGCATCTGATTATTAACCTCAGACGCCTAAACAGAACATTTTCAGAAAAAGTATTTGATTCAAAGAGTTCAAAGCATTCTTAAGAATGATGGAAAGAGATTGGTGGGTGGTGGTGTTGACCCAAAAGAGAGCTATCACTATGTAATAATAGACAGAAAAGCTCAGAAATTATTAGGGTTCAAAGTAGGAAGAAATTGGTATTAGTACTGAGTTCTACCATTCAGCCTAAGCTTGGTAGTATAGACTTTTACGAAAATAATGAAACCACTAATTGGTCATTGGAGGGCATTAGAAATTTTTTGTGGAAACCACCTTGATGATATATGGGTCTTCCACCCATGCCAAGAAACATTAATCATGTTAAGGAACTTGATATTATTTCGAGATCTAAAAAATTGTGGTTTTATATTGGCCAAGAAAAAACAACCAGAACCAACCCAATACTGAAGTATTATGAATTGGTTTTGAACACTGTAACAGGGCTGATTACTATACTGGAACTTAAGATAAACACCACTTTAACAAACCTTCAGAGCCTTTTATCAATGAAGCCCCTAACAGCATAATGTCTATCATCTGTAATAGGCTAAATAATAGGCTTGAACAGAGTCTTCATATATGCAAAAACCTATTGTATAAAATTTTATATGATAATCGATACAGAAAACTAAAGATCTTAAGAATGGGACAAACCAGTACAACTAATACACCAAGCCATTGCAGATATAAAATGGATATAAGAAAATATAAGGACAAAAAATAAACATCCTATATGAAAACCTCATGAATAATCTTGATATATGTAGATGCTTTGACAATAGGTTGGTTTGCAATTACAGGAAAAATGTAAACATTTGGAAATTGGAACCATTACCACCAGCACATGGTATTGCCCACCTCGAATTAACAGCAATGCTACTGGGTCTTGAGTCATTTGCTCATATAATTATATACTATTGGGTCACCATATATATAAACAACTGTGTGGCTTAGAAAATAATTGAATCAGAGAAGAGAGAGGAAAAGGCCATGGTATAAGGAAATAATGTGCCAGGTCTGTGATTTTTGTGACAAATGTGATATCAAATTCATGAGTTTCAATAAAACCATCAAAATTAAACCCAGCAGATGAACTGATATAATTCTTCGATAACTCCGATTAAGAAGTGACTTAGGATATATATATACACAAATAAGTATGAGGTAGAAACCCTTTATAGTAGACTGGATGGCCAGCTAGCAAACAAAAAAAGTAGTATGCTTCAATAGCCAGATGCAACGAACTGTTTTACTCAGCTTTGGAAACATGAAAACAACTATGTGTACCTTTCATTAAGTTTAATCCAAAGGGTGTTTAAACATATAGCCCAAGCCTAAACTATAATAACAATAATTATACCAGTATGGCCATCAACCACATGGTGACCAACCCTCCTGCAGAGACAAACTGAAGTAATGAACCTGCCATCTGCAGTCACCTATTTTTTGCCAAACCTATAGAGCAACATGCTACCAGAACTATAGAAGAACTCACATTAGAGATTTTAGAAAGTAAGAGTCTGTTCCTAAAAGCTTTATTTGAAAGAATATACAAAATGATAGCACCTTAATCATTGTATGAAAAATGGCTTATAAGTTTATGAGAGAAATTTGTAACCTTTTGTTTAAATCATGAGTTAAGGCCATGCCTAGCCTATCCTAACTCTTTATTAATGTTTTTAACCTGGCTTAGCTTGCTACCAAAGCCTGTTAAACTACACCTATATTTGGTAGCTATTAGTTATTACTATCATAAACTAGAGGTTCCAGACCCAACTCTAAACTTTAATATTCAGCAATTGGCATGCAACTAAATGAAATATGCAGCAATCAATAAAGAAGCAATATGGCTACAAAACCCCTTCCTAGTAGAAGCCTTGCATAATTATATAAAAAACCCACCTCAAAATGCTGCCAAGTTGATATGAAAATAAGATTATGCTATGATTTTGCTAGGTATTCATACTATTTAAAGACCTGCTGAACTGTGTAATCTTCATGTAACAGACATAAAAATAGATAAGGAGCTCTTTTGTATCAGAATAAACAGATCAATTTGCCAAAGAAAAATTCATTCTGATAGATTTAACAAACTCATTATATTGCCCTGTAAGGCTAGTCAATGAATACTTAAAGAAAAGAAGAAAAGTTAAAAGTCGGAAATTATTATTCTTAAATGCATCAGGGAAACATATATTAATGAGAACCATAAATGCAGCTATAAAAAGAATGGTGCATCACACTAAACTAGTGTTATCCTATATCTACTTCTTTTAAGATAGTAGGTAACTAGAGCGATCTTAGACAGTGAACACTTTTTGTAAC